AGCAGGACAATTAATGTGCTTGTGTTTTTTTTCTTTAAATGAAGAGCAGGGTGGGGTAACAAAGAAAACACTCTCAGCCTTAAAACGACCTTTAGATTTTGCAGGCAAAACAGTTACTTTGTATTTGCATGAAAATGACAAGTCCTTCAGAATCATGTAGTTTTCCTAGAAGAAAAACAAAAAGACCACGTGCTGCAAATAGACTTCTAGAAAAAAAAATAAAAAATTGAAAAATAAGGCTGGCAGAAGATGAAAAGTTTTCTCCAGTAAAATACTCTCCTGATACACTGAACACATGCCAATACGGCTTTTACTCAGAGAACAAAGCAAACATTGCCTATGTTATGATTATTTCCAGTAGCAAAACATATTAGCATGGTATTTGGATATGTCCTTCAATTCTACAGAGTTCCTTTACCACACTGCATCAAAGCAACTGGCTTCTAACATTTAGAAACATATCCCTGACATGATGGCAATGGGGCTAGCAATGTGAGGATGCAAATGCTAATTGAATTAAATAAATGCAAGAAAGCTGAGTTAAGCTGCTGTAAATGACAGGCTTCATCTACTTTTAACTTTTTAAAAGCACATTCAAAGTCCAGCATAGCATTATGGATCCATTTTTTTCCGCTTTAGTATATTAACCACTTCTACCTTCTTATCAGGAAGAAAAGCTCCACAGCTGAACAATTCTCTGTTTAAAGACCATGAGAGAAGAAAACTTTACACAAAGTTTAAGTATTCTGCTAAATTCTTGCTGTTGTCTAAAGTACTTTTGAAAATCACAGTCTGAAAGCTTTAGCACAAATTATATATCAGTAAAAAATCTTTGTTGTTTGTGTTTTGTTTTTCCCCTGGGAAAATGTCCAATAATACCTTACTGGCTAAAGTCAAAAGTCTTTCACTGCCTCTTAGATCTTTACTTCCCTTCAGAATCACTAATGTCTAGCACTGTTCTGCATAACTCCCTCTTTTTTTCTACTCCCAAACTGGATTAGTTTAACCTTCACTTAGAAGGTCATATTTGATGGGACACAGAGATTAGGCTGGATGTGACTCCCTGCTTTCCATCGGTCGGGAGAGTGCTCTAATAGGCTTGACTCCTGCTTAAAATTGTGACAGGACTATTTTTTTTTTTCTTCTTGTGATAGGGTCTAAATGGTCAACACTGGAAATGTAAGGCCTCTATCCACCTTGATCTATCACATCCAATACCAAACCTTTTGTAGCATCAACCTCCTGTTTCCTTGCAATGATTTCCTTCTTCAAAAGAAACACGGAGTTTCCCAAAGTAGATTGGACCAATTACGGTAAGATGCTTGAGAGGAAATAAATGATTTCCTCACAATGCATTTGGGTAGATGTACAAAGAGTCTTTCTTGACCTATACTGGAAATAAACTTCTTAAATGTTAACTTTCTCCTATCTTCAATGTGTATAACTTGAAATATTGGGACTGATCATAACATTATGTCACATTTTTTTAATCCACCTCTAATATTTGCTTTGCTGACCTCATGAAGCAGCAAATCTTACAAGCTAACAGCCCTCTGTTTGAGAAATGACGTCTTTTGATTTACTCTACTTTTACATGCCATCAACTCCACTGAATTGATCCAGTAGTATAGGTCAGGGTAAGAAGGAAAAGTGAATTGTGATTTCTTCCATTCTCCATAACCCACTAAATCAATTGTGATGCACCAATCACATTACTGTGTTGTTCAAAGAATGTGTTACACAGACAGATGACACTAGATTGCCAACAAACTGAGTACGAAGAACTGCCACTGCAACATATATTTGGGCTGACATGTACTTACATAGGGTTTTTCTCCTTATCTGATACCTGTCTGACTTCCAGATTTAATGTCTAGTATTTTTCACCTACAGTCCTTTTTTCTTATTCTATTATTGCCCTCAGCATTGCGAAACCCACCTGCATGTCTAAAAGAAAACCTAGTTTACTAATTACTATTATCACTGTTCGGTATTTGCACTGTGCTAGAGTCCTACAGTAATAACTCTAAAGTTACATGCTCTATATGCTGTAGAAATATATAAGTACTTAGCGAAGAAGTCTGTTTGGCTGCTCTTGTTTTCTGAACACCACCACCAAAAAAAAATATTATTTTAGCCTAATGTGGATTAACAAACAATCAAACCCAAACAGAAAAAAAAAAAATCCAAACCAGTTCATTTTTATCTTTTGCTGAAGCAGAACATGAAAAAGAAACATTCTTACTTATCTATGAAATGTGGTATAAAGCATACTGTGTTATGTTACAGAACCACCCTTTCTCTTGCTGCTCAGAAGCTATGCAGAGTCAAGCAGAAAGCTGAATGGAGACTTACATAAGTCAGCTCAGTTACTTTCCCAAGTCCTTTGGTATCATTGTGTGCACAGGACTCCAGTAGCCAGTGGACTTGGAATTGATTCATGCTGACATCTAAATGATACAAAAAGAGTGGAAAAGACACATATTATAATTATACTTTCTCCATTGTAACTTTTCTGGCTTCTCTAGATAAAAATAGAAGGAGTTTTAAATATTATAAAGCTGGTAGTTCCTCACTTGTTCCTAAGTATCCTTCAATATAATGCAGAAAATATTATACCCTTATGTAATTTAAACCTTATATCAGCTAATGGAGATAACTTTAAAAATACTGTGTTGACATTTTCAGATATGTAAGCATATACTACTTAATTTTTTTTTTTAAATCAAGCATTTAAATTCAGTATTAAAAAAAACCCGAAACAATCCTCAATGCTGCTACTTCTAAACATCCTGCAAATGATGGCAACGACTTCGTGTCAACTGCCTGTAATTGTTTATATCATCAGAGCATTGCAATACTGCTGCCTGGCACTGCTAGAGAAATCTGTGCCTGAAGACAAGTGAAAATGCCTGTAAGTCCCTGAGCTTTCTCCTTTCAGAATATATCAACTTGGACTGTAAATGTAGGATGAAGGTTTCTAATAAACATAGTTTCATTTTTTTTATTTAAACAAAATGAAATAATGAATCTTATATCTGATACTGCTCACATCTGATATTCTGATAACAACCTATATTGTTTGAAAAGACAAGATTTTCTTTCTTTTCAGTGAGCATGTAAAGTTATTTCAAAAAGGTTTTTGCATACATATATGGAAGTACAACAACTGCTATAATACATAAGAAGAGCACCAGCTAAGTTAATCCAAAACTTTTCATTAGAATAAGCCTTTTTGATGACCCTAAACTTATTTTCAAGACTAAAACTTCTTCAGTTCTCATCTCCGCCTTTGTGATTGTTATTATCTAAAAAGTTTGAACTTAAGCATGTTAATTGCTTTCTGTTAAAAAGAAGACTGTAAAAACAATTGACAACAATAAAAACAATTTTCTCTTTTTAAAAAATCTATCCTGTCAGGGTCTAAAGCCTGAGCAATTTGGGTTGCAAACCTGAAATATAATAGGGAAGTAGCTCCTAATTGAGACAGAAATCTTTTAACAAATAGGGAAAAGCAGGGCATTTTGTTATTAAATAAAGCTAGAAGCGTGAAAAACTCAAAGTGTATGTGCATGCATGAAGTATGCATATTAAACAACACTACTGGTTTAGAAATTATCTTTAAATTTTTTAAAAGCAAAAGGAGATAAGGCATACATAATGATCTAAAAAGCCATGTAAGAGACTTAAAAAAATATGAAAATATACATTTGTTTTATAAAGTTGCATATAAAGTTAATGGCTCTAGAGTTCAGTTTTTATGCGGCATTACACATCTGATTTTGTGTTTATAGCACACACAAAAGAATAGCTTCTCCCAGCCTTCCTTTCAGCAATATACACTCTCCTAGTGAGATCACCACTATAATTTTATTTAGATTTTTGTTTTCAGCTGTCCATTACAAACTCAGTGGTAGTTACTGGAGAAGTGATCCAAGCTGCAGTCTAGGTGAATGTCAGCCACTACAACCAAAGCGAATGGTTCTGAATTAAACCCAGCTGAAGTTAATACATTGTAACCCACAGCCACATCTTTTTCTGAGAAGTCATTTGAGTAGTTAATATCAACAGAATATCCAGTACCTAATAGGACTGATTTGGGCCAGTTTTAGCAGAAAGCTCTGCTATCCCTTCTAGAATAGGAACATAACACTGAAAAGAAACTGCCAGGCTCCTTCAGTCTGGTTCCCTGATATGTCATCCCTGAGATGTCACATTATAAAGCCTTTTTTGTATATAATCAATGTCCTTCTTAATAGTTTGGAGTTTTCCTGATTCTGTACTTCAAATTATAAGTCTCTATAAAGCTGTATAACACCCTTGTTCTCATGGTTAGAAAGTATACCCTTTAACACTAAAAAGACTTATGCTTACACAAACAGAAAACATTCATCTTTCCCAGAATTTAAAATATTTGTAAAGAAACACTGAACTTGAAGGACATACTAAGTGCTAGCACTCATTTGAGTAGCTCTGATCTTGTGAAATTAGTCAACATAATAATTATTTAAGCAAGAGCTCCTTTAAGGACTGTTACAGCAGACAGCTTATTCAAACAATTACTTTTATTTGCAAGCTTCTTTAAAAAAAAAAAAAAAAAAGAGAGAAAAAAAAAAAAAAGAAAACCAGAAAAACTACTTTAAAAATCCCTGTAAAGACACCGTCATGTACATGACTTTCAGATGCTCAAGCTAAAGATTTCTTGATGTTTCAGACCATTGTACAAAACTAATATTCCCGAATAAACTAATATTCCTGAATAAACTATTAGCTAATGGTAATTAACTTGGCTATGACTTTTAAAGTACAATTTCTGTTTCAGACCATTGTACAAAACTAATATTCCCAAATAAAGTATTAGCTAATGGTAATTAATTTGGCTATGACTTTTGAAGTACAATTTCCGAATTATAAAATGAGTTCCTAGCCTTAAGAAAACATTCTTATACAGACATCATGAGCATGTCCTTAAAATTCCACATATGCTTAGTTGTTTTACTGAACAAGGGTATGCAGTCAACTTTGTTGGGCAGAAATCTTTAATCTCTAACTAGAAATGTTTTGATCAGGGGATGCCCTAAAGCGTGTTGAAAAAATGTCTGTTTTGATTCCCTCCCTCCTATGTTTCACCCAAAGAAGCTTTTAACTCCACATGAGTATCTCCACAAAGCTATCTCTCTATCGATTGTGTTTATGAAGATGTTCTCTGTCAGATCTATCTTCTTTCTGCCAGCCATGTGAATAATTTCATCTAACATGGTTTCCTTTTTTCTACCATGTTACTGCAGATAGCTCCTTTCTTTGTGTCAAATACTTTTCTCTGCTTTATATTACATTTTTGGTTGCAGAACAGTGCCAAGTTGACAATCATGAGGAACTGAAGACTGCTTTGTAGCTAGAAAATTGGCATAGCATGGGCAGGAACAGCAGTGAAGTTTGTTCACACAACCCAGCGCTACCAATATGACAACAACCTACTATCACTCCAGGAGACTAGGTAAGCAGATTTAAGAGGTATGTATTTCTTTCTGTTCTTTTGATCTACAGCAAGAAAACTGCAGCAGACTGTTTTGGGAACTGGGGCTAGTTCTGCCACTGGTTTGCTGGAGGACTTCAGGCACAGCACTTCAAGGCTCCTTACTCTCTGTTCCACTCCTGTCAAGCAGTGATAACTATAGCAGTCTCGGCTATAAGTAAGTATATATGTAAGTATTTCAGCTCTAGAATTGTATATTATTCCGTTTGACGGGTGGTTGTTGGGCAATGGGTCTCTACAATTTGGTATAAAAATGCCATTTAATGCCAGCTGTGACAGCACCATTATGTAGGCAAGCAAATTACAAAAATCTATTGGGAAAAAAATCAAATGGGATTTGCTGGAAAATAAGATTTTGGAGCAGACATGTTCAACAACAGCAGCTCAAATTAAGGTTTAATTACAATAAAAATGTCTGGCATCAATAAAGACATATGATTTCTGTATCATGACAGGATTTGAAGTAATTAACAACCAGTATCTGATAGATTTTCCATTAGAATAAAATATGGTAAAAAAGTCAAGATTATAAAATAAAACATACTTCTATTAAAACCTGTACCTAGCAGCATAAAAGTATTAATTTAATGTAAATAACAAGCACATGTTGAATGAGTAATAAAGGAAATGCTGTTCTGTATTTTTTGTCAAGTTACCTCAGCGAACTGACTACCTCCAAAATATACACTTTTAATTAATATGCTAACTGTATGTCAAAAGGAGTTGTTATCAAAGTTTGGAAGATAATTAGCCATATGTAAATCTGCTGTCTTCATTCAAACTTAACCTTTCTTCAAACAGAATGCAGTAAGGAGAATGAAATTTCTGTGAAGCTATCCAGTAAGAAAATTACTTAAAGAATTTGTTCTACATGTAGCTAAACCTTTGGATTTATTAATATTGTTAAATCTGATATTCCATACAGCAAACTGTATTCCTGATTATTTGTGACTGGCCACATGGTTTTTGTTTTTCTTCTCATACTGGGGGGTTGATCTTACAAGCTTCTGAGCATTCTGGCCCTGATTCAACAAAGCACTTAAGCATATGAACAGTCGTGTTGACTTCAATAGTTAAGAGAAGCTAATGGATCAGGCCAGAAAGTTTAGTACCCACCAAGATCAAGACATTAATGACCAAACAAACTATAGTTAAAAGATGATCTTGAACATGTTTTTGATTGTCTTAGACTAAGAGGAAAAAGGAAATACAGCAAAATTAAGCAATTTCCTTACTGGATCATGTGTCTTGCAGCATTACTGCTCTAAAAATAGGCTATATTAAGGGGTAAAGATTTTATATTTAATATCATAGCACAGGGCAGAATCTGCTCAGAGCACATGAAGTGCATGTCTCTGTATCTACAAGCTTGATAAATTGTTTCAATGGAAAAATTTTAGTATGATTTTGGGGAGCTCTGTATAAATCCTGTGTCAAACAACACACCATCCAGGACAATAATTATTTATCTCATTGTATTGAACCGTGAATGTAAAAGTAACAATGGTAAATGGTGAAATTTATTATGCCTTGCAGAAAGAAAAACATTTTATCATCTCTGAAGTGCCCAAAGATGTGTACAAGTCAAAGGCTTCCTGAAGAAATGTTCCTGCCCTACCTTTTCCCAGTATGCAACTCCTGATACACCTTTACAACTGTGGATATAATACAAAACAACGCTGCTTACAACCCACCATTCTGGCAGAATAATGAGCAGCAGTGTTTGTTCTGCAGCATAACCTGCCTGTATTTCCACACATGGAAGGACTACTACGCAAATAGTTGAGATAAAATATAATAAAGTGTCTTCTACTCTCTCAGGCTTGCATTCATCTGTTTATCAGGCCACCATTCTTCTCCATGTCAACACAGTTCTACAATATGGAAGCTTTCATAAACACTTTTTCTGCAAAA